CTCTGCGTGTGCAGGAGGGCTTCATCCTCTAGTCTCGTCAGTGAGGGTTTAGGGTTTGGGGTTTAGGGTTTAGGGTTTAGGGCTTAGGGCTTAGGGTTTAGGGTTTAGGGGTTTAGAGGTTTAAGGTTTAGGGGTTTAGGGTTTAGGGTTTATAGGGGTTTAGGGTTTATAGGGGTTTAGGGTTTAGGGTTTAGGGTTTTAGGGTTTAGGGTTTAGGGTTCAGGGTTTCGGGTGTTGGGTTTAGGGTTTAGGGTTTAGGGATGCCTTGATGTTACCATAAATATTACTATTCCTGCTACTATTCCTATTACTGTTACTATTACTATTCCAATTACCGTTTCCACTACAGTAGCCATTAATATTACTGTTACTGTTCCCATTACTGTTACTATGACTATTCCCATTACCGTTGCTATTACTATTCCTATTACTATGCCGTTGCTGTTACTACTAGGATCTTTTGTGCAGTCCTTGTCAGGGGTGGGTAGTGACGAATCAGGGACCCGCGCCGAAGCCAAAGCTGCATTGCCAACCCGGATTAGCTGGAGTTGGCAAGAAGCTCGAATGCCCGGCTGCTACGACTGAACAATCTTTCTGGCAGACCCAGAGAACCCAATACTATACCCCTTAATTACGGAATATACCTGAAATTATAGGGGCCTTAATATTATGATTTAAGGTATATTCCTTAATTATATAAGGGGCATTGGGCTCTCTGTGGACCGAAGGTATACTCAGGATACCATCGTTCTCTATGATCAGGGGCGCTCGAAGGCTATTCAGGCTCTGCCTATAGTCTCCATTGTAGTTCCTTTTTGGGGATGCCTTATAAACATAAACTCCTGACTATATAATGGGTTAAACCAAAAAAAAGGAACTACAAAATGGAGACTACAGGTGATGCTACCCAGCCCTCACTTCCTTCATTTCTCCATGGCAGACGCGTCCCCCGTCAGACTTCACCAAGCGCAGTCGATGCGAGTGACAGGCCACCAGGCCGGGACGGTGTCCCACAGAGACGAAGCAATCCACGTGGTTTTTGACCTGAGCTGTTCTTGGAGGCCCTTTAAAACCTGTACTTCTAGTTCATTCTTCAGAATGTACTACGAAGTTTCTAGAAGGCTCAAAGTTGAACTTCGGTTCCCAACCCCAAAAAGCAGCTTTACCTTCAAGAACAACCCAGTCACGAGTTCGTAGGCCGTCCTTTCATTTTCCTCATCCAAGGCAGACGTGGACTCATCAAGGATGGCTAGATCCACGTGCGGTTGGAGTAGAAGCCTTGCCAGATTTAGCCGCTGCCTTTCCTGAGCTCTTGGTCTTGCTGAAGGAACAAACTAGTACCGATTTAAACCCCCAAACCCTAAACCCTAAACCCTTCGTTCGTCATGCACCCCTGTTTCCTGAAGGAGAGCCCAGCTTCACCACCAGACAGGATCTTCTGCAAGTCCACCTCCTCATCCATGCCGAAGCGTTTCGGAAGATGGTCGATGTTCAGCTGTTTCCTTGGCTCGTCTTAAGAGAAACCTCAGAGCTTTTTCTAGCTTTATGCTTTAGGGGAGTTAGGGTTTAGGGTTTAGGGTTTAGCTTTATGGTTTAGGGGAGTTAGGGTTTAGGGTTTAGGGTTTAGCTTTATGGTTTAAGGGAACTAGGGCTTCCCAAACCTGTGTAAGCATGGCAACTGAATCAAAGCCAGTCTCAACACCTCGAAGATCCTTGACCTACTTGGCTCCTCCACTCCCTCCCGGCGCGGGTAGAGGAGGTTGTCTTGAAGCGAGCCGAGACAGATGTAGGGCGTCTGTGGTACGAAGAAACATCTCTCAAGCCTCGTTCGCCGAATTCTGCCTTGCCCACTTACCCACAGGCCCGCGATAGCTCGGAGCAGCGAGCGCTTCCCTGAGCCACTGGCGCCCTCAATGAGAAGGGACTGCCCCGCATAGAGGCTAAAGGAGAGGCCCTCCATCAGCGGGGTGTTGCCCAAAGGCGGGAAGAGCGTAAGATCCTCTACCTGACTGGTTCTCTAAAGCAAAGCTCCAGACCCCGAACCCCAAACCCTAATCCCTAGAAGGATTTAGAACCCTTAACCCCCGCATTTAGTGAGCTCCGCCACCTGGATCCGGAGCTTTGGCTGCAAATCCGGATCCAGGTCCTCCACGTGCAGTTTCTCCTTACTGCGTCAATACTTGGAGGTTCTTGGGTAGCTATAAGTGGAGTTATAAGTAAGCTAACTATAATCATAACCCATATTAGGGGACTTATAAACCCTACTTATAACTACCCGTGAACCTCCAAGTAAGCCACAGAAGTACAAGGTCAAACTTACAGGCTACCCTTCACCATAAGAGCTCAAAAAGCTTAACCGTTGGGTACTGGAGAACCACTTACGCACCTTTAGAATCATAATAAAAACCAAGAACTCTAGCACTTCCTGAACCTGTTGGAGTTTTCGTTATAATCAACACTTACTTCCCCAGAACACTCAAGACTAAGTCGCTATCTCCATCTCATCGGACGAACTGATCGCCTCGATGTCGGACAAGTCTTCGGAATCCGTTGCAGTCGAGGCTTCGCTCTTTGTGTCGGAGGCGCCTTTTCCTGAGTTCTTGTTGCGGACGGTTCAGGGTTTAGGGGTTTAGGGTTCAGGGTTGTGGACCTTCATGGAGTTGCCGTAAGAAGGAAAGCATGTTATTTTTGAAGATGTCCAGATTGGTGTAAGCCCTTCGAAAACCCTGAAAAAGCCCTTCCAAATTCTACATATCCCCATATTCCATTATGACAGCTTAAACTAACTTAGATCCAAAGCCCCAAACCTTAAACCCTAAAGCCAAAAATCCTTAAGCCTGAGCCCTGAACCCCTGAACCCTTCAACATAAACCCTAAAGCCCAAAACCCTAAACCCGAAGCCCAAAACCCTAAACCCCCTTAACAACTAAAGCCAAAAACCCGAATCCCCCTCAAAAACTAAAGCCAAAAACCCGAAACCCTAAGCCCTAAACCCCCAAATCCCTGAAACCCTCTAAACCCCAAAGGCCCTAAAACCCCTATAGATCCCTTTATAGAACCCTTATAGATCCTTAAACCCTCTAAAGCCAAAAGCCCTAAAACCCTCCTCGAGTTCCCAGAGACTCCAATATCCCTGAATTAAGGAATATACCCTAAACCATATAAAGGATCCTACTATAATTTAAGGAATATTCCTTAAATTATAGTAGGATCCTTGATATGATTTAAGACCCTAAACCCTAAACCCTAAACCCTAAAGGTATATTCCTTAATTAAGGAGTCTCTGGGTTCCAAGTGTCCTTCCTCGCTGATCTTGTTCAGGGCATCCCAGAGCTCCTGTTCAAAGGGCTCCCAGGGTAGGGTGTAGGGTTTAAGGGTTTTGGGTTGAGGGTTTAAGGTTTAGGGATTTAGGGATTTAGGGTTTCGGGTTTGGGGTTTGGGGTTTAGGGTTTAGGGTGTGGGGTTTCGGGTTTAAAGTTTAGGGTTTGGGGTTTGGGGTTTAGGGTGAAGGTGGGTGGGGTGATCCTAAATAAGAACCCCCCATATCAGGGGATCCTAAACCCTAAACCCTAACCCAGACCACCGGGAGGATCCACAAAATAGATCCCCTAAGGGGTTCCTATAAAGTACCCTTTAGTAGCTAGAGTCCCAAAGTAGGGCATCTACTTTCTAGATCCTAAACCCAAAACCCTAAACCCTATTTCCTAAACCCTATCCCCTCCCGGTGGTCTGGGTATGCCCAGAGAGCCCCAACACTTTTAATTAGATCATAATATTAAGGCCCCAGCCCTTATAGTATCCCTTATAGAACCCTTCAAGGAACCACTTTAGTAGTTAGGGTCCCTTTGGGAATCCTACCTAAACCCTAAGCCCTAAACCCTAAACCCTAAACCCGAAACCCTAAACCCTAAACCCTGGAATCCTACCTACAGCTTCATCCCACCTTTTGAGGCCTCCGCTCCTTGAGGCGGACGGACTCGGCCCCGAGCTTGGCGATGTTATTCAGCCTTTTTGGGGGCCCAGAGACTCCAATATCCCTTAATTAAGGAATATACCTTAAATCATATTAAGGATCCTACTATAACTTAAGGAATATTCCTTAATTAAGGAATATTGGAGCCTTTTGCGGGTTTAGGGCTGTGGGGTTTTTAGGGCTTGGGGTGCTAATCTTTTGGGGGTTTTGAAGCCCTTACAGGAACCTCAGGAGCCTTTTTGGGGGTTTAGGGTTTAGGGTTTAGGGTTGGGGCTTGGGCTTTTTTAGGGCTTGGGGTGTTTGGGCATAGAGTTTGCGGCTTAGGATTTGGGGGTGTAGGGCTTGGTTTTTTTGGGGCTTGGGGTGTTTGGGCATAGGGTTTGCGGTTTAGGGTTTGGGATTTTTTTGGCTTAGGGTTTAGATTTGGGGTTTTGGGTTTTTTTGGGCTTAGGCTTTGCGGCTTAGGGTTTTTGGGCTTAGGGCTTAGGGCTGAGGTCACAACAAGGGGTACCACGACGGTTTTTAAGGTTGCGATGGGGAATCAAATGATATTACCACCACGGGTACGAAAAGTACGAGAAATACCAGAAGGACTGCTAGGAATATGTTTAATAGAAGGGGGATCATGATAGGGATGCTCAAACTGTAGTTTCAAAGTAGACGGTCTAATCATCAAGGGTCTCCATTTCTTCGCAAAAAAGTTTCAGAATAGTAATGGTCCATGCCATAACATATGTAAATGTGCTGGAGTACCCTGCGATGTAGTAGTACATGAGAACAGACTCTCATACACCATGATCTACTGTGACAAGGGGGTTTCCGAAAATAGGGGACCCTAATATAGTACCCGAAATAGTAGGATCCGTATTATAAGGACCCCCAACAGGGACACTGATTTAGAGAACTAGCCACCTGGTGACTATGTTGCATAGTGTGGGCTACGAGGTGAAGGTGGGCCTTCTCAGCTGCGAAGATAGCCCCGGTATGAGGATAACGCGCCCCCAACGCCCACGCCCTGAAAAAAACCCCTAAACCCTAAACCC